ACAACACCCTCGTTAACAATTAACAAGGTGACTCCCTTCCAGGCCCCCTACCCCGGGCTCACAGGGAGCTTCTAGGCTTTGGGGATTTGAGAGCAGGAGTGAGATGGGAAATCCTGGTGCATCACTGAGAGTGGTTACTAATTTGGAGGATTTTTCCGAGGTACTCCTGTCTCTCCCACCTGCGCAGGAACTGCATGAAAATGTACCCAGCAGGAGAAATGGTGCATAAACATGACCTCCTCCCCTCCTCCAGGTCTCTGTAGGTGAGGAGACAGAATGGTAGGAATGAGGGGTGCCTGGGTGGCTCAGTCGGCTAAGCATCCGACTTCAGCTCAGGTCATGATCTTATGGTTCATGGGTTCGAGCCCCGCGTCGGACTCTGTGCTGACAGCTCAGAGTCTGGAACCTGCTTTGGATTTTGTCTCTCTCTCTCTCTCTCTCAAAAATAAACATTAAAAAAAGAAAAAGAATGATAGAAATGACAGAAGCTTCCCAGGGTCAGGCACGGCCCTAAGCGCTGTACGTGGGACCCAGTGAATCCTTCCAACAACTGATAATAAGGTAGATACCAGCATGATCCCACTTCATAGATGGGCAAAGTGGAGGCAGATTTGCTAACTTGCTCAAAGTCACAAAGCTCCAGAGACCTTGCTCTTAACCACCATACCCTGGAGTAATCCCTGTATCCTAAATTTTGCTTGTTTTCTGCGGTTCCAGTTAACAGGTGGTCAACCTCGTGCAGGAAGCAGATGGTCCTCCGGAGTTGGGTCAAGAGGTCAACTGTGCGGCCGGGCCTATGTCAGTGACCTCACTTCATCTCGTCACGTAGGCACTGCATCATCTCACATCTTGGCAAGGCGGGTGAGTACAGTTTATCATATTTGAGAGACACCACATTCCCATAACTTATTACAGCATATTGTTATAACTGTTCTATTTTATTAGGACTTACTGTTGTTAATGTCTTACCGTACCTAACGTATAAATTAAAGTGCCCTCAGTACGTATGTATAGGATGAAACATTGTATATGTAGGGTTTGGTACAATCTGTGGTTGTAAGCACACCCTGGGGGTCTTGGGATGTATCCCCAAAGTATTATGGGGGGCGGGGGGGGATTACTGTACTGCCTCATCATTTCCAACGCGAAGGTTGTCAAAAGGGGATATTAATGACACCCATTTGACCCACTGACACCTGCCCAACAATGCTTCAGTAGTGGAAGCTGGAGAGAGGAAGAGGGGAGAGTGGCACCCTGTGGGTCACATGGCAAGGACTGCTTTTTCAGGCTGAAACTCAAGAGCGGTGATGCCTGTGGAATGAACACTGACAGGTTCCCCCTCCCCCAAGAACAATCGCTAGTCTATGGGGACTCCAGTTCTCTGCCCAGAGCTGTGGTTTTTTAGCAGGAAGCAAGTCATGTGCATCAATGATCGGGAACTCTACAATCCAACTGGGATCCGCAACAGCCCGCTTAACCCTGGTCGGGGGGGGG